TCTCGAGCTTCCCATTTTGTCAAACGAGCCACATAAGCTTGCTCCTTTTCTTTGATTTGTTTCTTCAAATTGCGCCTCTCGCGAGCTTCCTCACTGTCCTCAGAGCTTCTAAAATGCGTACTTATGAAGCTGATGTACAATGAGACATATGGGATCAAAAGGAAAGAATCATTAAAATACTGCACCTGCTTAGCGATCGCTCTCTTTCTCTTCTCTTCTTAGGCGTACGTTCCCGAGATCTTGATCTACTGCGAGAATCCGAAGATTCGCTTGAGCTACTACTCTCAGAGGAGCCAGAATATGACGTGGAGCGACGTCTACGTCTACAAACATTTTTCAACAACATTGAAAATCATTGAAGTAAAAACGGTCAAAAAAATCCTGGAAAAGAAAATAAAAATAAGAAAGAATCTAGCGATCAAACAAATTTGCTGATTTTTTATCTTTCTTATGAAAACCTGAAACTTTTGACGAAAATGAAATCTCACTTATGCTTAGGCGATTTGCTGCGTCGCGATGATCTTCTATCATTTCGTGAACGCGAACGGGATTCGGAACGTGATCTATGTCGTGACCGATGTCGTCGCTCTCGTTCCAACTCCTGAAACATCATCGTATGCTGATTCTTTCGCAGATCTCTTCTTTACAACAAAGTATACGCATATAGTTTATGCGCGCGATCAATTTAAAAATAAACACCATCGCCTAAACCGAGACAAGTACGAGTTATGTTGGGTAAACCAGCCTGTTTTATTAAACGTGTTCATGTCGCCCTGAAACGGAATGCTTGATGCATACACGTAGATGTACACGGAAATTATAAAAAAGTAAAAATAAAAACCAGAGAAACGTTAGAACTGGCATGCAAAATGGGTACGGTGTGAATAGAAGCACAGTCAATGAAACACGCTACGGACTTTGTCAACGCCGACAGAGCACCCCGTATGAGATATACCCGCCTTCTCACCGTTTTCTTCTGGTAAGACGTTGGGAAACCTCACTACGAGAACATAGGTTTGACAACGCCAACTCGAGTAATACAGATATATACTGTTATAATATGATATGTACACTCACACCGACCTGCTATCGTAACAAACGCTGCGATTCATGGGTATCTGAAAGTGTTGAGCGTAGTAGTTGAGTACAAGAGATTAACAAGTGGTTGCGGTATTGCATATAACTAGCGTATTAGTGATGGTGGTGCAACAAGCGGTTCACGGTAGGATTGACATGCGTGCATTGCGATCGCGTGCGAGGCTGTTAAGAGGTGTGATGATGATGATGATGCTAATTTAGCCAACTCAGCCATTCCTCATTACCACAACAGACAGCAACAGCTGCTGCTCTCAGATAGAGAGGAGAGGAAGTAAAATGAAAATTAGCATAGCATAAGGAAAAGTTGGGTTTTATCAACGTTTTTACACACAATAGTCTCGCAAACTAAGCACATCACATACCATTTATGGGAGATCGTACTGACGACATTAACCTGAATTTGAAATCGATTAAAAATCAAAAGAAACTGAGTGTCGAACACACGAAACCAAGCCAATGCTTTGTTCTGGCACTCGGCATAACTTGGATTTGAACGCAAGGACGAGAACAAGAATTTAAGAA